ATATATATATATATATATACTGATTGATAAATAGCGGTGCTTGTCGGTGATAGCTTGATGGTGGTCCAGGATGGCCATCACATTGATGACCAGCATGTGGGCGTGTGGTTAAAGTTATGGCTAGGGGTAAAGTTAACGGTAGGGATAGGATTACAGTTTGAATTGTGGACAGGGTTAGAGTTAGGCTTAGTGTTAGCGTTGGAGTTACAATTAGTTTTAGTGTTAGGGCTAGAGCTAGAGAGGACGTTAGACTTGGTGTTAGCGTTTTGGTGACATAGTTGTAGTTTTGCATAAAGCTAGTTGCCATATCTTTAAGCATGCATTTAAGCTCAAACCTAACCACACTACAAGCACATTGATGCCTTCTGGTCCACTGTATAATAGTCCAGCGTGGTCGTGGAGCGACCGTAATTGGAAATTCCGTGCGTCGTCTCGTTTCGTTAATTGACAATACGATTTCATTACGTCGGAGCTGAGACTGCTGGGCTCTTCTACCTAGCAGGTCAACGGAAATGCGGACACTTACATTTATAGTGCGTAGTAGCGGTGGTCGTTATGCGATAGCTAATAGAATGTTAACGTGGAACTCTATGATAGAATATATTCTCTCAACGGTGAATAGAGTCTTTAGAGCGGTGATATGACGCTGAATTGAAGAAAAAGTCTATGTTAAAATCAGCTAGTTTAACGAACGGGTGATGCTCCATTAGGAGCGTTCCCAACTTTAATGTCATTAATGTCGTGATATAAAAGATATATGAAGGGTCGATATAAATTAGATATCAATGGGGGGTTAGATATGGAACACCGCGCGCGGCCTACCAATGCGTCTCATATACACGCTTAATTCTTTTTGCAGAATTTCGACTGAAATTGGACACATCGGTGCTATGATTTACAACTAATACCTGAGCGGACGTAGTTGGCGGGGTCGGCATCGTACGACGACAGATCTATCTGCGGAGCGGAGGGCGTGCTATTGCGTAAGCATGCACTCATGATTGCTGATGGCACCCATCAAAAAACTACATGCTACGTGCCAGCATTCATCGGCGTTGCCATGACAACTAAAATTGTATTAACACGGGTGCAGTGGCTTACTTAAGACTATAAAAATACATACACACACACACACACACACACACACACACACACACACACACAGACACAAACACA